TGTGCCGAGAACTTTCACATTTAAGTTTAAACACACGAGTACAGCAAACAACAATTTCAATCGCCGATGCAATTAATAATCGAGTAATCGCTCCGACTTGTAATAATATTATAATAAGGGAAATAAATATTTGTCGAATAGCACGTATCGGCGTTGAATTGGGAAATTCAGGAGATTATCGTAAGAAATAAAGTAGACTTGGCTCGGGGATGGTAAGGTTCGGCCGAGTTCGTGTTCGCAGCCGAACTCGTCCGAAAGCTGCATTCCGGTGGCTACCTTCACCATGGGTGTTTTCACCTCTCCGTCGGTTTCTCGTGAAAAGTCTGTTCACCTTTCGCATTCGTTTCTAAAGACAAATCAAGCGATCGTGGAGGTGTCTTGAAACATCGCGTGAAACGTATTCGTCGCGTAACCGTATATTCTAATGGTGAATCGTTGGTGTGTTCCCCGTATCGTGATCCACGGTGTCGCACATGTGAGAATCTGAATTTTGACGGATCCGAATGCAATGGCGACAACGTCGCTACTTTCAATTATGTTGCCCACGTTGTTCCCAACTGTTATTCGTTGTTGTGCACCGAAAGACACCTGTTATTATATGCCATCAAGGTTAAACTATTGACTGTAGGAAAGAGGGGAAAAGAAAAAAATGATCTTCTGGTGTAAGAGAATTGATATATGGTTGAAGAATATTGTGACACACCGGGCCGTAAAACGAGTTTAAATCGAGCGGGCTGTATTATCCAGGCAAAACTATTCTCCTCCCGAATTTCTTCGAATTCACGTTCCCACGCGGAATTTCTAGTCGATATATTTATTCGGTTCAGTATCATCCGATCGATAGTCATTATCCTTTTATCATGCGCGTAAGAAAGCAGAAGATCAGAATTGCTAATTCGAAACTGAAACCTGAATTTCATCTCGCGTCTATTCGACATCATTTCATCTGACACTTATGCAACTGAAAGTGTTCCATCTTTTTCCAACTGATTCGGGAAAAATGTATCCACGCTGTTCATTTTGTAGCTCGATAGAAAAACAGGGTATGCTCATATGTAAGTACGCACCCATAAATGAATCTTGCGGAACGTCATTCCAGCGGAAGTGGTTAGATTAACGTCTATATTAATTCAAGCGATTTGTCATTTAACAAAGCGTGAACAAATCGTACAAGTACAGACAGAAGTAAAAGTGTGTAGTTAGTATGTTCGATATTTCCGTGATTTTCACTCTTTTATAGAACACTATGGAAATGAATAAAGTTTACTTCCGAAGTAAAAACGTTACCGTTAACTGTTGCTTTTATTTTCATCGTCGTACTGTATAGAAAGGGCGTTCCAACCAGAGATCTTTAATGCGACCAAGTATCAAACAAGAGAACAGTCGGATAATAAAACAGTCTATAGAGAAGAGTAACTCGGAATATTACTGTAAACGGTTCGGAGCAATAATAAATCTTGTTAATAATGACCTAACCTAATACCGCATAAAGGGCCATATTATGACGTCAAGCTTAGGGAGCAGCAGCGCGAACTCAACGAAAATGCGTACACACCGATGATCGAGCATACCACTGTTTTTATACCTCGGTTTCTTATACACCGACGGACCATGGAAAGTGTCATTGTTGCAAACGAGCAGCTACCTAAATAAATACACGCGTTTATTATCCGCGTCTTTTTAGTAAAACCTTTAATTATTTTCAAAGTATTTTATATTCGTTATATATTAGATACCCACGAAAGAATCGCAAGTTTCTCAGGAAGAAGAAAAGAAGCTTCGAGAAGAGAACCACGGATTTTATGAATAATTATTGCATTTTAAGAGACATTTCCATGATTTTTCATAGTGATTTTTACTACGAAACATTTTAGAAGCCAAAGGCCGTTTCAAAAGGCCGTTTGAAGCTTTCAAGTGTTCACCGCACAATCACGCTACACCAAATATAAACGGACTAACGGGTGTGCAAATAATGTAGAACTGTATTAAAAATTTCAAGACATGTGTGTTTTGAAAATTTTGCATTGGCGTTACCGTACCCTAATATCCATGCAGAAGAATCAAACGTGAAAATATTGTGGAGACATTTAAGGAACTGAATCTCTAGATTTCATGATACAGTGACAGTTCATTTTCACAGCAGGCTTTGAACTAAGATTAAAAAAACATGGGTAATTGTTTCAGCAGCCCAACAGACACCGAAAAAGAAAAGCCTGATAGAATAGGCAATCCTAACATAGAGGCAGTTGCATCTCAAGCCAGTCCAGTGCCAACGCCACCTCCAGATCCTATCAGGCCTATGCCACAAATTCCAGACGCGGATGTGCCAACTGCAAAAATATTTGTTGCTTTATACGACTATGACGCACGTACAGATGAAGATTTAAGCTTTAGAAAAGGTGAACACCTAGAGATATTAAATGATACGCAAGGAGACTGGTGGTTAGCTAGGAGTAAAAGGACTCGACAAGAAGGATACATCCCCAGCAATTATGTTGCAAAATTAAAATCAATCGAAGCGGAACCGTAAGTCTTATAAGTAATTACTTTTTCCTGAAACGATTATTTTGCCCTAGACTCTTTCTATATCCCTTAATAATAAATTAACAGACTAAAATGATATACACTAGTTTTATAAACAATCAAAATGTAATATGGGTGTTATATATTTTAGAAAAATATTATATTTTCATCGCTATAAACGTGAAGCAATAGTATAGGATATTGATTCAATACGGTTGCCTCGAGTATGAGAATCACATATAAATTTACATTTATACATCCAAATGAAAATTGTTCTATCCTATTTAATATTTCATAAGAATCCCATTATTAATCAGAGTTTATTATTAAAAGATTCTAAACAATTTTAAGCTATTTAGTTTTCTTTGTTACATTTTCAGCTAATAAATTATCTCTCCATACAGTCAAGTGGTCAATGTGACCTTGCTTTCACTAACAGTGCTCACATTAAGTTTTCAGTTGTATTAATTTGAATTGAGCACCTCTGGCTATCAGTCGGTTTAGATAAGCGATGCTTCCTTTTATTCCTTCCTGTTTAATTAAAAAGAAACATTTGTATCAGTAAATTATTAGATTTGTGAACATTTTAAATCTGCTTATTTATATGATTATTGTTTAGATGGTACTTCAGAAAAATAAAACGAATTGAAGCTGAAAAAAAGCTGCTACTGCCAGAAAACGATCATGGTGCATTTTTAATCAGAGATTCTGAAAGTCGACATAATGATTATTCTCTTTCAGGTAAGTTAATAAATTATAAAATGTATTCTACGAGTATGAGAAGTCTATTTCTTCGATAAGCAATTGTACGATAAAATGTAATCGTTTATTTTGTCTTATTATTTTTCTAGTACGCGATGGTGACACAGTTAAACATTATCGAATTAGACAATTGGATGAGGGTGGTTTCTTCATTGCTAGGAGAACTACATTCAGAAACCTTCAAGATCTTGTTGAACATTATAGTAAAGATGCTGATGGGCTGTGCGTAAATCTCTGCAAACCCTGCGTACAGGTAAGAGAAACTTTTTAATCGAATTAATATTTTTAATGATCCTATATCATATAAATGGAGTTTAGACAGCTTGCTGCATGTAAAAGTGGTTTTTAATAATATATCACTATTGTACTAAGAAATATGATGTATCGCTTAATTATTCCATATTTTGTTCAAAGTAATCATCAAGGGGTTTCTTAAATTCCTTTGATAAAATTTTTTTATTTCTTTAGGCTTGTCGGTCCGATATATAATACCCTTACAGAAATCCCTTGATATTGAATGTAAGCTGAATATAATAAGATGCTAAAAGTGAAAGTAAGAACACAAATGCATGGTACTATTGATCTTTATATTGTACACGAGCATACAATATGGTTAATTTTGTACATAGAATAAACAAAGTAATATAAATGATTGTACCTAATTTTTAGGTGACACTTATAAACGTGTGTATGCATATACATGTATGTATATGCATATATGTACACACATAAGTGCATACCTAGTTACATATATACATATATTTATATATGTGTGTCACATATTTATAATACTGTCTAAACTCCAGTTGGACTTTGCTCAAGACAAAATAACATAAAATATAGTTAATATCTATTGCTGATATTAACATTCTTAAAATTGATTTACACATGAATACTGTACTTAAAGAATTATTTTTAAATGTTTAAATATACGTATAAATATACATTGGACAAAGTCACATGTCAAGATATAGGATGAATTTTTTAGTTATTGCGTATAACATCGTTAACCTAAATACAAATGCATTAACAAATAAAAAACTAGTACAAATTTCAATGTACAGATTTTTAAATTTATGTACGAAGGAAGAATAACATTTTATGAAATTTTTTAATCGATTTTCAAAGAAAACACCTATTGAAAGAATTATACATAGTCTATTTGTCATTGCAATTTATTTTTTAAATATATTAAGGTGTGAAAGCAGCTTTTAGTTTCATAAATAATCTTGCAAAGTTTGATCTCTGAATAGACTTTGTTTGTTTCTCTGTTATTGCTTACCCTACCTCCCGCTGGATTTTCTTGGTAAATTGAATGTCCCAATATGACATAACATGTTAATTTTCTTTTTTAACGTAAACGCTTGTCCATTATGTCTTTGACCTGTACATACAGCACAAGCCTGTCCTATATGGATTCATGTTTCAAAGACATTAGATTATCATTTTTCATTTAGAATAATACACTTGTTTTTATAATCTTAACTTTGCTGAAATTTATAGCTTCTTCTTAGAAGAAATGGGATTGAAAGCACACTTTCAAGAGTGAAAAAGTTTGTGTACATGTGGCTGTATGTGCTCTTTTAATGTACACTAATCGAATCAGTTACGACTGTGTGCAATGAAATACGAATAATGAATGATGTACTGTCATTTGTGTGCTTAAAATCTGTTCGATATACAGGATGTTTCAAATACACATTCACAATTTTCATGCCAAAACATCTACAACGTCTTTCACTAAGGATCGCATAAAAGAATAAAAATTGAAAATATTATTATATTACATTATGTACAGCGAATGATATATTTTGTACAGATACATAAAACATCCTGTATGTGAAATTTAAATTCATAGATCGGTTTCTTAACATGTTTTAGAATTCTTTTCTTGTGTCTGCGTGTACATTAAAGAATTTTAAAACAGACTTTTTTCTCATCTAATGAACTTTATATATTTTTTGAAAAATTTTTAACAAGCTATCGCACAAAAAGTCTCATGATACAAATAAGAAAGCATTTTTGTCTATCAAATTCTAATCTTTAATACTCTCAATGGTTAAAGTTTTTCTTCTATTTTTACAGACTTTCACCTTTTTCTGTTTTACTATAAAATGTCGTAACTTTAAGACATTGAGAGTATTTTATATTACAAAGGTAGTTGATGTACAATGCTATAATATTGTTGATAATATGTATACTATACAATGACAAAAATTATTAGTATATGAATTTATGTCTTGTATCGCATATAAGTGTTCAATTACTAAGTTCCTGGAATTATATGTAACGACTTGATATTCTCGTTTATAAAAATATAGGTATCAGTGAATTTTTCAAAGTATTGTTACATTGTATAAAAAATAAAAGTCCGTCTACCACAGAAATTTAGGATCACATTTCACGCGTATTAGTTATCGTGTTAGTTATTAAAATTCCTTTCTTTACAAAGACTATGCGTATGTCAGAAGGCATGATAATTTAACATTTGCTTTTGATCACTTGCATCCTGCCATGTAGTCACTGGTTCTGTTCGTTTTCTTCTTTATTTTATAATCACTGAACATTTTAATTCGGCAAATTAATTATTTGCTGTACATTATTTCTTATAATGAGCTCCTTACAAACTTAACAAGCAATTATGCAGCCTAAGCAACATTCTTATGGGGCTTCTAATTAGGTTTGTATGAACAAAAATTGAAGTGAGTGCTTAGATTTTGTAAAGGATCATTAGAAATTTGGCTCATACCATTTAAAATTTTTACATTTTGTTCATTAGTGTACAAATCGTAAGAAAGCATTTACTATACATAGTAACACGTTTCTATAAGAACATTTTAGGATTCAACAATTATTGATTAGCTTGTACTTGATTTTGTTCATAGGTTGAGAAACCTGTTACCGAGGGTCTAAGCCATCGTACTCGCGATCAATGGGAGATTGATCGTTCGTCTCTGAAATTTGTGAGAAAATTGGGACAAGGTCAATTCGGAGAAGTATGGGAAGGATCGTGGAACAATACTACTGCAGTGGCAATAAAGACGCTCAAGCCTGGAACAATGGATCCTAAAGACTTTTTAGCAGAAGCACAAATCATGAAGAAACTTCGTCATGCTAAATTAATTCAACTGTACGCTGTATGCACTCTGGAAGAACCTATTTATATTATTACCGAATTAATGAGGAACGGTAGCTTGTTGGAATATTTGCAAGGTAATATAACGAATGTACTTGTATGTTTGATACGTAGAATTAGTTTACACGTTTTGACGTTCTCCATTATACGCTGTAATTATTTTTGCGTTTAGGAAAAGGCAAAACTTTGAATTTACAACGATTAATCGATATGGCTGCACAAATTGCAGCGGGTATGGCGTATCTCGAGTCACAGAATTACATTCACAGAGATTTAGCTGCCCGTAACGTTTTGGTAGCAGAATTGAATGTTGTAAAGATTGCAGACTTCGGTTTAGCTAGATTGATCAAGGAAGATGAATACGAAGCTCGCGTCGGAGCTCGTTTTCCTATTAAGTGGACTGCGCCTGAAGCTGCAAATTATAGTAAATTCAGTATTAAATCTGATGTATGGTCATTCGGTATTCTTCTTACTGAATTGGTTACCTATGGTAGAATACCATATCCAGGTAAATAAGTCTATATTTTCTACAAGTGTAACGCGAAGTACTGAAACTGAAATATTTCGTTATATATATTATCGTTCGTATATCTACTTAGGTATGACAAATGCTGAAGTACTGCACCAGGTAGAACATGGGTACAGAATGCCATGTCCGCCCGGTTGTCCAACTGCATTATACGATATTATGTTAGAATGTTGGAATAAAGATCCCATGAAGAGGCCAACATTTGAAACGCTTCAGTGGAAACTGGAAGACTTCTTTACCATGGAAGGTTCCGAGTACAAGGAAGCATCTGCGTATTGAAGCATTCAACTGAAGTACTATCTTCTATTATAGTATGCTTCATCGCGAAACTGACAAGATATGATAGGTATTCTATATGTACATGCAACAAAAAGAATGCAGATTATTACGATTAACAATTTATTCGAGACACGGATGTTTGTGATATTTCAGAGTGCAGTTTACATTAAACGGTGATCGTCTTTTTAACGAAAGATTACATCGTGAATTTTCTTTTATTTTATTTTATTTTTCTTTTTTTTTCTTTTTTAGCAATTGCGCGGATTGCTTTCGTTACATGTTCTGGCTGCCATAAGATTTTAGAGCAAGTTTGTTGATTCATAAATAATTATACAAGGATTAAAATCAGTGCTTGGATGATTCTTAAAAACTAACTGACAGCATTCAAATTTATTTTAGACAATTTGTGAACGTGTAAATGTCGCGGATATGAATAGTTCTTTGAGCAATGTTTGTGGGAGTTAACAGATTTTTTAAGTGGAAATTCGTTACCTGTACAAATTTTGACAAGATAACGCAATTGTCAAAAGTATTATATACATTTAATGTAGTTAAGGACCCTTCGGTGTATAGAATATTATTCGAAATAATTTACACATTTCTGAAGGAATGGTTTATTAAAATTTAAACGATGTATTGTAGTTACCGTATAACAGATGATTATATATTTTGACCCGTCATTACTTTTATGGCATCCTCTTTTCTGTTGCTCGAAACCAGTTTAGAAATTCTATTAAAATTTGATTCCGCTCTATTGAAACTTGACCATCGGTTTACTGCATGACAATATAGTATATCTAAGGTAAATGTTTTATTCGTACGGTTAGAGAGATTTTTTTACAAGATTGCCGAATATGTTAACTCTCAAACAAATTTTGGGCAAATACACACCAACTAGAAGCAAGCAATGTATCTAATCTGAAGATTCTTAACTGTTCATAGTAGAAATAGTAAATGTGTAAGATAACATAAGAAAGTATATACAGGGGTATTAATTTTAATAATGTTAGAAGCATGTACATCATTAATGCCCTAATTTCTGATTTCATTGTATGTAATATTTTACAGTTTTAAAAGAACGGAATTATTAGTACCGTTATATTGATTTTGTATTCAATCATATTTTCTTACTGACTAAAATTCGTTACTTTCAAATTCCCAAATTCTTATCGTTGTACACGTGTCCGTTTAACACAACACTATTCATCCGTCGGTTCAATAATTTTCATAAATATTATTCTCTATTCTAAAGAAAATTATCTAACAGATAAACGACAAAGGTTAAAATAATATAATATTTTTCTTTATTTCACGTATGCTTTTAGAGTTAAACATATTATACGTGCTTTAGCTTATCTGTATTTCTTATAGAGATTTCTACCATGTGTCTAATATTTATTTACATATATTTTATTAAAAAATCTTCATTCTTTCTTCTATACGATATGTATTTTTGTTCAATTATATGTAAAAGAAAGAAAGGTATCTTACTCGATTGATGAAAAGACATAAAGAATTCGTAAAATATATACTTAGAATTTGGTATCGTTTGTTTTGCTTCGTATTTAAATGCGTATGCTTTATTTACATAAAAAGTGTGTCTAGTCGAAGACCACTATAAGTTATAAATACTTTCTTGGCACTGAAACTATTTAGGGTATTTTTCTTTTAAGCGGGAGAGTAAAACCAATACTGCCAAAAACACATGCAGAGAGAGTTGCTTTTGTTACTATCGTCTGTAGAAACAGGTAATTCGAATGTATTATTTTCCTAAACGTCCTTGGATCGTTCACCTATATTATTCCAATCGGAAGAAGAAATAAATGTTCGCGATACAAATGATTTTAGGGATCAAATCGAGAACAGTATTTTCCTCAGAATTCAATACAAATGGACTTTGATTGTTTTTTCGTAATCATTTGATAATTGAAAGTATTTTGTAATTGTTTTCAAACATTCTACTGTGTGTAATGAATATTACATATTATAACATTAAAACAGATATTAGGGACGATTTCAGAAATCATTTACGTAGAATATGTAAAGTGATTTTGTACAAAAAGTAAATTTTTATATAAGCATACATATTTATATTGTGTACAGTTTTATTTGAATATAACGGAACGCTCTTTTATATATAGGTTTCAACGATGCATACGATATCTACGCGATTTTTATACAACAAGCTCAATAATTTGTTTATTGACAGTTTTCTTCTTAATCGAGCGAAAAAGAAAGCAGAGGATATAGTGGTGTATAAGTATTAAGTATGTGAAATATCATGATCCTCTGTGCTAGAAGATTGTTGAAACAAAAACATGTAATGTCAATAAAAGAGTATTGTCATTAAAATTGTTCATACATAAGTGTACTATGTAACAACTATTATATACAACTTTATAATTTTATATGTATGCATACATATACACAATACGCATAAACATTAGATATTGTGTAATTACTTATACATACACCCCCCGCGTGCGTGCGCGCTTACACACACACACACACACACACACCATACAAGAGAGCGTGCAAGAGCGAGAGAGAGAGAGAGCATATAACGTGTATATATGAATATGTATATGTACATTTATATATTTATACTTATGTACATATACATATGCATGTATCGTATATTAAGAGATATTACAGAAAGTAATTTTAACTTCCTTCTTTGTAATTTTTTACATTCCTCACCGCACCTCCTTTCTTCCCAAGCGTTTTTTATTGCGTACCGATCTTTGAAGATTAGATTTTCTTTTTAACCACCTTCCGCGGACTGAATTTCATGAAATTCATTATTTTAATTGTATTTTTTGTTTTCAATGCTTATTAACACGAATGTGCTGCATTTAATATTTATTGTAAATACCATACGAAATACATTCAGCAGCGTATGTATAAGATCCGAATGATATATTTTGACTGAGAAAAACTGTTCGAATCGCATAAGAAATCAGAGAGACGAGCCTGCTACTATTGTATTTTACTGTGAAAACCGTTCCATCGATATAACATGAAATTATTTGTTCGGTGAGGCAGCGTGTAAATAAAGAATAATTGCAATCTCACTTTCTTCGAAATAATTCATTGAGAAAGGACGAGACTGTACATGATTCCGGCTGCATCGATCGAAAGTGCAAGCGTTCGGCGCTTCGTTTCGCTGACGGGCATGAAAAGGTTATGGATCAATTTTGCTCTTGAACGATTGCATCCATACTAGATTTCAGTGAACCAAGAAATGGACCAATCAGAGGTCCGTTGCGTGAACAAATAGGTTGCCGTCGATGTCGCGTTCCATTTAAAATTGAACGAACGAACAAATCAGTTGTGTATCGTAGCGGTTGGTAGCTGTTTCCAAGCTTCCGAAAAGTCACTAGAGAAAGTTACCGAGAACGGTCAGTGACGGCAGGTGTCTCGTACAGGTGTTCAGTCAGTTAGCGGCGCGTACTCGCGTGTCCGGTGCGTGCGTTGCTCTTTCGTTAAACTGTTTTCCGCTCGTTGGTCGACAGTAAAAAGAAACGCGCGTGAGTTTTTATTCAAAATTTGTAACAATGTTTCGGTCGCGATGTGAGGTGGTCGAGTCGAAATATCGGGAAAGGTGATCACAGCTAACAGTAGAGATTTTCACACGAGAGATCAACGGCGGACATCGCGGGATATGTTGTAGCTGGATATTATGCTAATCGCGTTACGGTCAGAATGCGGGAGGAAGAACTCGAGATATCGCTCAAGGTGACGAAAAATCCGATTCTCATTTTTCCTTGGATAATATTCATTGCGGGAAATTCATTCGATTGCGGTTTCCTTTCGCGCCGAATCGAATCGAATCGAAACGACACGATACGACATGAAACGAAACGAAACGAAACGAAACGAAACGAAACGAAACGAAACGAAACGAAACCAGACGAGACTTTTTAATTGCCGCGTCCCGAATCACATGGGAATACATTTCACGCGACGCTTCTCCGATCAGGGCCAACTAGAATTTATTTCTTTACGGCAAGTTCAAGCGCGGTTTTACTCCGATTCGCGGTTTCTCCAATGAAATGCCAAAGAAAAATAGAGAAATAACACGGAGAGTAAGATATCGCGAAACGCGCGTGCATTTCGGCAAGATTTGAAATGAAATTTCATAAACGCGTATGCGCGGTGACAGATCGACATTCTAATGTACACACACGAAGCCGGTACTCTATAGGTTAGGAATATCAATCTTTCGACTTGCCCAGGTTTTTACCTTGTTCGCGCCAAGTCGAGAAACGATACGGTTTCAAAGAAACATTTTCCTAGTCTAATCGTTCGAAATGCTTAATTATCGGCAGCTGGTCTTGGTTGTTGCGCCCAACAGTAGAAAGAAACACGGAAAAGAATGGGACATCGAAACTGTCAATATCGATCAATGTCTTTCTTCGTGAACACGAATCACTCGAATTGAAATAGTAATGTCTCTATTAAAAGATACGGCATGTCCGTGCAACAATGCCCATGTTGGAAGCCATTTTGATTTCATTGGTATTTGTAAACAATGTCACAGATCGGTGATCTACACGCGAAAAGAACTATTCGATACTATAGTATACTATATACGGTTTAGGCGATGATATGGAACGATTGTGGTTTATCTTTCGATCGCTATAACGGTACTTACACGCTGATATTTTCCTAAGGAACACTCATCGAAGAGTATGCAACACTTTCAGTGTTTTTATTCTTCATAGTTGGAGCAAACAACTCTGATCGTTTTATTTCGTCCGCAGAATCGAATTACCGCTTTTCCGAGTGTGAAATAGCCACCGACCGAAAGTGAACATACGAAATATTCTAAAATAAATATTACACTTGGAATTTTAGCGGGAGAAATATCGCGGGAGTGTGCGCGAGAGATCGAAGAACGTTTTATTCGTGTTTTATTAAGTGAAACCGTGTGTCGGTGTGCTCTACGATTTGGTACCGTTATTGTTGGTAACATTTTACTCGGTATGGTATGCGGGACTCGTTTCGTTAGAATTCGATGGTTCTCGTAATGATATCTTTTTTATCTGAGCGGCAAGGAAATGTTAACGGTGAATAGGTCATCCCAACGATTAAATCAACCAGTGAAAGAAACCTGTTGGTTAATGAATAATTCCTACGTATCGGAATTCTCGGTGTTTCGAGGCCAATCGTGAAATATCAAAGTAACGTGGAACGAACTCGTTAAGGGTGTGTTCTCGGTACCTGGCGAATCGTCCGAATTAAAGTATTATCGTACGAATTCTAATATCGCGTTCTCGGTGTTCTATCTCGCACGATCCTGAGTGTTAGGCGTTAGCAACGGGTAAAAACCGCGCACTGCCGATCAAATTAGGAAGGCAGGGGTTGCGCGCAGCTGTTCGAGAAATTCGCATGATTAACATACACCGGTTTAATTGGTGTGCCGCTCGTTTCCAATAACTATCGCGGTTGAAAATAATAATTAACCGGACGCGCAGGAGAACGTAATTAAGATCGAGACGGTCTCGTTGATACGATGTATCTCGAAGCCTGTCTAAAAACCTCGAAACGCGCGCGGTCATCGAGAAACGGCCATAATAAACTCTCCCTCGAGCGTATTATCGGAAGTGGTTTAAACCTTTCCAACAATATTCGTATTTCAGCACCGTCCGCGATTCTCGTTCTCTTTCGAGAGTTAATGCTACACAAATAACGTTGCGGATCAAACTCGTTTCGTTCCGACTAATTCACTGGAGTTTGCTACCACAGAGATTTCCCTATAGATTAGGCTGTTACGACGATAAAGGAACGGAGACGCGCGACGATTCGGTTGATTTCGACAACGTTACCAAAAACGAACGGTACATTCAATTTGGCCGTCGGCCGCAACCGTGCTATTCGCGGGAATATTTTCTGCGAGCTACCGCCGTTTACGATACCCATAAAAACTCGGAAGAATCTTTGCCCGGATCCGAGTAAATCGGGGGCTTCCTGTTTCGTTAAGGTATAATCCCATTAAAGCGTACAATTTACAATGGTACACACTGACTAATAGTAATAATAATAGTAATAGTAATAGTAATAGTAATAGTAATAGTAATAGTAATAGTAATAGTAATAGTAATAGTAATAGTAATAGTAATAGAATTTCGATCGCGCAAACGGATGCGAAAGCATAGTTGCTTGAAATAGAAAGAGCGGAGAAATTGGTTAACGTTCCGGTTGAAGACGCGTAGAAGAAAGAAGCTTTGTTAAAATTCTTGCGGCACTCTAGTCGGTGCGTTAAAAAGCTTCCATTAAACGCGAAGGCAGCCGAAGGACAGGAAACGACGAGCAAACGCATCAGGGTCCCCCGAAGGACATCTCCATTTCCCGTTAAATAGAGCATCGCGATTTGTTTATCTGGCAGACAGCCGCTTTTCGAATAAGTTCAATGTCCTGCCGCGTAAGGTAATTCAAGGTCATGCACGCATAACGAAACGTACCTACTTCGAGGCCGATGTCGAGAAGTTGAAGGACGAAACGATTTACATCTAGAAGAACGAGGATAATACGAGAACTATTTCCGAAGAGTTGCTCGAAGATTATAGGGAAGGGAATTAATTAAGGAACACACGGTCGAACGGAGCGCGAGCGTTCCACCGTATATATCTGTTTCATTGCTCTCGCGTCTTCCGGTGTGTACCGTGGCGGGATCGATTTTTTCAAAATCCGCGCGATTACGACTCGAATAGTTGTTCTTCGTTGGCACGCTGGATAATGTTATTCTTGCCCGGGTATCAGAGTTACTGTTACAACAGGCGAGTTTACAACGCGAAACGAACAAAAAGAACTTACGACTCGAACGTATCGACGTATCAACGTATCAACGTATCAACGTATCAACGTATCAACGTATCTACGTATATCATTCGATAAGATCGATTCCTCGATTGCTCTCGATATTTCGTTCCGCTAACACTGGGAACGTTCGTCGAGTCAGAGTTCCAACGAATAAACACGGATCGTCTCCTCGCATCCCTGTCACTCGATCCTCATCCTCGGGAATGCTTGTACGCGATATTGCTCGAGAAAACTATCGGAAACGAAATAAACGTGTTTCCAATGAAAACGAACGTTTCGTTTAAGACTGTGTCGATAGGTATCGTCTTTCGTACGGTGTCACCCTCGAATTGGCTCCTTTTTAGTAGGCCACCCTGTACAGTCCCCCCACAGAAGTTCGATTCGGTGGACCGGTTCGGAAGGACACGGGCCCTTATCGACTTAACCCACTTCTCGCTTTAGGCACACACCGTTATCTCGATTATTTGGCGGAACAACGATTTCAAGTACAACGCCTCGAGCGGCAGCGATCCTGGATACTCGTTCCTTTTACCGATTCCTACCCGGGATTGGAACCTGTAGTCCGGCAAACGAACCGTCGCGAATCACGTAAATATGCAAATCGGGATTTTCATGTGACGCGGGACCGATGCGCACGCATTTATTTAATACAGGTTTCTTCGTTCTTTGGGCCTAACGCGTTCACGGCATGCCCGACCGTGAAACTTGCCGTAGTCAAAAGTTTGATAACGTTTCGCTTGTGTCCGGAACCCATCGCGGATCGGAATAAACTAATAAATAAACGATTCATCGTTAATTCGGCTAATTGGTTTGTGTAACAGCGAATAAGAAACAATCTGGATACACGTATATATGTCGTATATTAGGAAAATAGAATCGCTGGCCGACGATTCGAGACTTTGCGGCGGCGTCTGCAACGTTCCCTCGTTCGGAATCGCGTACTTGGAGAACGTTAACGCGAAAACCACCGTGAGCTATTAATTAAATTAAACGTATCGCAATAAAGACGGGGCTTTGCGATATTGGCGCGAGAGCGTATTCGTAATTAACCGCTTCCGCCGTTTCTTCCGCCGTTTCTTCCGCCGTTTCTTCCGCTGAAATTACAGCCAGCTGGTAACTGTACATGAAAAACTGTTAATCAACCTGAAATCACGAAAGCCATTCACACGCGGTTCGACCACTTTTCCCGGTATGTCGCGGCCATTGTTCGCCTCTTTCGCGTCAGAATTAACATGGCCTGCTGATAATTCCATTCGGACAGGTTCCTCCGACATATGCGTGAACCATTAGCGCGAGAATATTCTCAAATGGACCGCGCTTTCCTTCGGCTTGTTCTTCGCGGCACGTTCTCGTCCCATCTGTTTCCAACAAACGCATCGTTTCCTCCGGTTCGATGGACGCGCCAGCGTCATTCGTCTTGATCCCGGAGAGATTCACTGATTCGCTTCTCCGCGCAATCGTTAATTTTCGATCATTTTGTCTTTCGACGGTCGGGTCGAGTCGTTTCCTAGAAGGTTTGCTAAGTGTACGCGCGCAGCTGGTTAACGGTTCGACTTGTGCCAGTGCTTCCAAGTTTTTCGAACGGGCGGCGCCGATTTCGTCGATCCGATGGGACGATCCACGAAAGTGGAAATTTGCATAACCGTGCGCGGTCTAATAGGGCCTAATTACGTCTCGAGAATAGGTGGCTTTAATGGGGACATTAATCATTTGGAAGGAGGTCGCAGATGTGATCGTCGTATGGCGTAACTGCTCTATCGTCGTTCGCTATTAATAATCTTCTCTTCTCTTCCCTTCTCGTTTCCCGGTTCCATCGGAGACGCGGCGGCGAACCGATTGTTCCAACCTCGAAAACCGTTTCCCGCGCCCTTATCGACCATTTCCGGCAGCCATGTCGGAACGGCGAGTTGGTCTCGCATAAGAGTCGGTCCGCGCACCTTAATCGTTTCGATCGGCATTCGGTTTTCCGCCATCGTCGCGTTAATAACTCTATTACCGCGTCCCCTGCATCTTTCACTTTTACTACTTCCACTATTAATCCGCTGTTTTTCTGGTAATCCTCTTGTTCGCTGGAACGCGATGAACGCGATGAACGCGACGATGTTAGCTTTTTCTATTCGATCGATTATTTATTCGCGTCGTTCCCTCGAGTTATCGGTTCTAAAATTCGCGAGAGCAGGGGCAGCAACCTGCCCGAGCAAAGAAGCTGCCTCCTCGCTTGCCATGCGTCGCGACGCGTCGGCTCGAAATTAACCCAAATTCTACGCGATAGCATTCGTTACTTTTTTATTAGCTACTATCTCGAGTCTATCGAGCACGACACCGTTCGCCGACACGAGACCGCCGAGTTGGTTGGACGCTGCTGACGCGAACGCCGACAGAAATATTTCATCGAGCTCGAAACAAATCCGAAGAAAGTCCCGCGTGAAATTCATTACAGCATTCGTTTATCCCCTTTCGTGCTCGACCTATAGCTTTTAGAAAGTCTACGAGCAAACCACGAAACCACCTTCGATCCGCTCGAAATTCGTCCCAATGACGAATAGCGGTAAACTCTCGAAGACCGATAATTCATCGAGTTAGCCTGGAATTTTTCGGAAATCGTACATTCGAAACCTATAAAAGTCGTATTAACGGTGAAAAGGACACAGTTAACCGCGACAGACGGGGCTGTTCCGCAGGCAACCTTGAAAACCTTGAAAACCTTGAAAACCTTGAAAACCTCGAAAACACCTTTCCTCCTCGAAGAGACGATCGAAGAAATAATTTGACAACGAGCCGTAATATTTGATAAATCTAGTTCCTTCGAAAGAGTGGGCCATCTCTCCTCGACTTATCCGAGCGTGCGATCCTAATTGTCTGCAATATCGTCGATAGAGTTTTCCAAGATGTGCGTTACAGGGGAACGTTTCTTTGCAGGTGGTGATAGTCGGTAACGGTGCCGTAGGGAAATCATCGATGATCCAGAGGTTTTGCAAGGGGACGTACACCAGGGACTACAAGAAGACGATCGGCGTCGATTTCCTCGAACGGGAGATCGAGTGAGTAAACGCACAAGCCGGTCAACGTATTCTGATATCTAGGTAGCTTTTCAACCGTGTAATTCACCTCGAGGATCTTTCGACGGCGCGGACGTCCCGCGCGGAAAAAGGAACAAGGAAAAAGGAAAAGAGAAATAACGGCCGAATAATATCGATGCGAACGATCATCGAGCCGACGGTTTCTTCCCAGGCGTAATCGGATCATCGGTGAACCTTTATCGATCTCCCGGGAAAAATCCGTGCCGAACGAGTTTCGAGCTGACCAATAACGGGCAACTGCGCGTCGCTTCGTCAACCGATCGAGCAACACAGAGATATTTTCGAATCGTCGGTTCATTGGAATTGCAACGTCGAACCACGATTCTCAAAGTTCCAATTAACGGTTACAATTGAAAGAACTCAACGATCGTGACTGGCTGCGATCGATGAAGTTCATGTTTGTTCGCTGATCGTCAACGTTCACCGAAAAAGTTCCTTTTCACTTTTCCTGCCCCCTTCGCCGAGCTCATGCTGGAGTTCGTCGATCGGAACGCACGATCTTTCATCGATGAATCCTTCGAAAATATCTCACGAACGGTGAGAATATTAATACGCTGAATAGAAAAACTGATTTTCATGGTGCTGAAAGTGTAGGAAGGCGGGCGGCAGCTGTACTCGGATGGTAATTAAAGAGTTAAAGAAGAATGCATAATAGGTGTACGCTCCACGAGTATACATACGCTCGCAGAGTTAATTACGTTCCGCGGGAGACGTCCCGGTCGCTCGGCGCGGCCGTCCTCTTGCCGTCCTCTCTTGCCGTCCTCTTGCCGTCCTCTTGCCGTCCTCTTGCCGTCCTCTTGTCGTCCTCACGCCCTCTTGCCAAAACAAAAGTCGGACAAGTATGCTACCTTCGTTGTAGAGATCAGACTATTCAGAATCATTTTCTATACAACATCTATTTATACCACTGATTAATAACTACAATGTTCTCGCGGGCGAACATCACGGAAAATTCAAAAGAAAATAATCACTTTTGACGATACGATTCTTAGTATACTCTATGGTACTCAAGTAGGTCCTTGCATACACTATTTATAGCGTTCCGACAATGAGTTATAGTTGAAATAAGACAACTAGGCAAGAGCCGCTTTCCGCAATAGCCTTGTTAAAACCGCGAGTCGTAACTCGGATAAAGCAATCCGGCTAGAAAATGGCGGCGCAGAGAGGGTCCGAGTCCGAAACGAGCGGACGATCCGATTAGCCCAGGACGGAACGGAAACGGTTTCTTTTTTCGGAACGTTCGCAGCTCGAAAAATCACGCGAACCGGAAGGTCGCGCACGGACCCCTCCATCGATTAGAACCCTCGGATTATAAACCTCGGCCGACGAGAGTACGGCACGGACGTTAAATGAAATCGGATGGAAGTCTGTCGTGACGAAGGCCGCTGCCCGGGCTGTCCCGTATTTCAACCGACTGATGCGTATGCACGAACCTGCTTATTTTACCTCTTTTTTACCCTTTTCTTCTCGTTTTCCGGCGATTCCAGTGCTCGTAGCCGTTGCCGTTCTTATCGTTAATACCGCTGTACACGCGCCATCTTTCTTTTACTTTTCGTCCGCCGACGGCGCAATCTTAATTATTCCAACTCTCGATTATTTCAACGAATGACGCATCGTTTTCCATTCGCTTCGCTGTTCTCTTTGGCGGTGAAGAAATAAACGCGATTGAATCGATCGATCATAGGAAATAAACAAAGATTTTTCAACCTTTAAATTGAACAATTTGACCTTTTTAGACAAGATTATTAGAGTCTTTGCTCTATTGTCGTCTTTATATCGTCGAACGATTCGCTGGGAGCGGATAATCTATTAGCGGATCGTCGACTGCTGTCCGATCCGCGATTTTAAACGATCCGTTAAATAACACCGACAAGCTGTTACGAATTCATTGTAATTTCGACTGAGAATCGTGTCGCCGGTGTTGTGGGTCACGTGAGAATAGGCGCGTTGGAACGAACACACCACCGGATAAAGCGTGACAACAGAGCGTCTTCGACTCGAGCATTCTCGATCTACTTGAGCTGCGTGAAAAAGGAAAAAGAGAAAACTGGGCCGCGTTTCTCCCAAACGGGCCCATAACGCGGTTGCGCGATGAACCATTATCGCATTCCGTTATTAAATCCGTGGAATTCGTGCGCGACAGCCGACATACTTATTATATTGTACAGTTACAGTGTTTTCATTGATACCGTACTAAACACTGTACATAATATTATCGATTAACATCTAAATTGATCTTGTACGAAATAACCATCGCTTACCGTTGGTTAATCGTCTTCGAAAATCTGGTTGGAACCGTAGAACCATATTTTCTCGCGACCATCCATCGAGAAATCGAATTTCGGTAGTCTCTACTTCTCCTATTCCATTCCGACAGAGACGTCTGCGATCTCGGAGGGGCCGCTTAGTATATTCGTGCGTTCGCTGAAAGAGAGGAGGCGCTAAAAAGGTAGTTTCCTTTTGAAAAAGACGTAGACGAGTGCGGCTTGCCGGGCAGGCTAACGGAGACAAATCCACGCTAGGAAGTATCCCACGATAGCTCGTGTCGGGACGAATAAGAGGTGCGTTTCTCAAGGACTCGTGTAGAAACGTGCGCAGCTACACTCCGCATAGATAAAGACTCCACGGGTGCAACTGTACGCAGACAATTCACGCGCGGCCGACTATCGACGGAATTTCGAAGCGGTAGGACGAACGAGAATTCCCACTTGTGTCCATCCGCGACGACTTAATCGTGGATCACTGCTTTCAGGAGAGTTCCGTTCAGATTCGAATGCCGCGGAGCAAACGTGCAAGGAATCGGGAAGTTTCGGATCGGAAACGATCGAGACTGGAGATTCGAATTTTCCCCGAGGGTTGACCATTCTCTGTTCCGCAGGGTGGACGGCGAGGACGTCAGACTGATGCTGTGGGATACCGCGGGCCAGGAGGAATTCGACGCAATCACCGCGGCTTATTATCGCGGCGCCCATGCCTGCGTTCTCGCTTATTCAGCCACTGACAGAGATTCCTTCGACGCCATTCCTTCGTGGAAGCTGAAGGTAGGACTCGCGCCGCGCGCCAGACATACGCGCCGCGACGAACCGGTGCAAGCACGTTTCCGTAGGTAGTCGCGGCGGATGCTGGAATGTGAAAGTGAAGGTGCCATTAAAGCAGGGGCTGATTTTAAGTCGCTACGCGTCGCCACGTTTCCATTGCCATTCCGCTGACGCTGTATCATTCGCCGGTCGAATCTCCTCCGCTCGGGCTGTTCGCTAGCCGATAATCCGATCTTGTCGCTCGCGAAAGCTCTCGCGAAAGCTCTCGCGAAAGCTCTCGCGTCGCGAACCGATTTACCTCGAAATCTGGGTCGGCGACAAATCGGTTGACGGATCATCCGTCGAGGGAACTTTCGACGGTGCCGTTGCATAGCACGCTAGATCGGAGAGTAAGCGAAACTCTCGCATAGTCCGGTTGCGTTTCGCCAGCCAGGGGGTGGAAGCTGCTGCACTCTTTACGCGAAAGAATACGCCATATTGTCAAGGTTAGGTTTCAACGATACGCCGGAATGGCGGAATCGATAATTGGCAAAGATCACGAACGATTTGCCGCGAGGGCCGGGCCAGAATCTCGAAAGATACGTGACTCGGCGCAAAGTAATTTGCATCGACGTATCGGCATGCACTTGGTTAGGCTGAAAAGAAAATACGAGCACGAATCCCCGAAGACGTCCGAGATCATCGGTCACGCTCTCGAATTCCTTTCGTAGAAACTTGTGCGTTCGCTTTTTTCTTCGACTGCGGAGAAACTGGCGGGAAATGGTGCAGCTGCGGCTGCGAACACGCAGAAATCGCATCCCACTGAAGGAGACGCCCCGCGCGTTTCCAGCGTTTATCCCCTTCTTTCCGGTCGCGGACGCGCGCGTCTGCTCCGAATAGTTGCAGTTTATTCGCCTCTGGTATCTGAATCGTAGCAGAGCACTCGATTCAAAAGTACTCGGCTGATAAGGCGCTCGAAAATAAACTGTTCGTTAATAAGACATTCCATTTCTGCCGTCCATTTCTACCGTGTATACAGCGATTACAATCGTCCGGAATACATCGAAGCGAAACGTTTGCCAGGAGTATTAACTTCTTCGAGCCTGGCGCGCGCGCGTTTACTCCCTTCAATTTAAAACACGAAATTAGAAAGCAGTTTCACCTGCAGTTACCACCGACGGACGGCTCCCGGTTTTCTATGTTTCCTGTGCAATTTGAACCTGTAGTCGTAAAATGACGAAAGTAGCAAGATGCTTTTAATCGATTTCGATGAATGAATTATTCCACGGATCGTTTAGTAGAGGAAAAATATATTTATACGTGTACGATCGAGATAGCGCATAAGATACCGCCTAAGATACCGAGAATACCGATAAATCCGATAAGAAGCGTCTGATTTTGGTTTCACAGGTGGAGAACGAGTGCGGCGAGATTCCCACGGTCCTCGTACAGAACAAGATGGACCTGGTCGATCAGTGTGTCATTGATCCGTAAGCGTGGCATCCGATTACAAAGACACTAGCTTTACGGAACGCGTGAATTTTACGCATATTCGATTCTATCGATAATACCGTGTATACGAACAATCGTTTATCTTTAAACCTCCAATTGCCAACCTCGAAACGAACGAGCATCGATTTGTTCAGGAACGATAGAACAAACTGTAAAACGAACCTCCGTAAACCTAGCGTTAATTACCAGCCGTAATTTCGAGCAGTCTCGAGCACAGCGTTCCTTTTCAGGGACGAGGCGGAGAGGCTAGGCCGCGCGCTCGGCTGCAAGCTGCTGCGAACGTCTGTGAAAGAGGACGTCGGCGTTATGAGCGTCTTCCGGCACCTGGCGTCGCGATGTCTCCACGAGATGCGACGCTGCGACGACGATTATCAGGACGACCTGAGATTGTACTCGTCCGGGCCTAGGTCACCTTCCGTAATAAGTGAGTGCGGACCAGTTCACCCGACGCAACATTGCTGCGCATCGATCGAACCGACCTTCGTTTCGACCGACGCGACTTTCCCGATCACGGGTTCGCGAATCTCTCATCTGTCGTTCGAGAGTTTCATTTCACTCCTCGATGGCATTTCGTCTTGTCGTTCGGTCAACGATATAGCATGATTCGCTTCGAGTTGCGTATTCGAGGCAACTCTATTCGAGAGAGCCAGTTGTTTCCCCTCGGAAACAGTATTCCTCGTTGATTCTACTTTTGCCAGGTTTCCTCGACTTTACTCGGCCACTGTATCCTAGCAACTCCTCTGTACGAGGAGTCTAGGTTAACACTGGATCGTCCAGATGGTTATATGACTCGCATTCTTGATTTCTTCTTTTACAGTTATTGCGAAGAAAACAGATGCTTTCTAGAGCAGTCGCTATAGAAAAGAAAGTGATTTAGCGATCCGTAAACTGAATTGCCACTGAATAATCTCGATGGACGGACTCTCGGAGTTTCTAGAAAGATTTCGTTTCTTTCGCTCTTCTCGATTAAGAGATAGATTAGAAATCCGAGGAATTTCGAAATAAATCGGATGCGAACGCGCGTGTAGACCGGCGTGCGACAGAATTTGTACCAGCCGCGGCTGAACAATGTAGTCCGATGCCGGTTCACGCGTGGTCGATCCAACGTATTCGTCCGTCGGTCGTTTAAGTCTGGTAATGGCTGTGCGAAAAGAACGGTGTGCTTTCTTGGAAACTCCACCGTGGAGATGATGCATAATGTATTAACTGTGCCGGATACGCACGCTTCTACGTACGGTGCAGCTCGATCTCGCCTCTGTTCGCCTAACAATACCGTCATCGCTGGACTGCGAACATTCAAGATCTTCATCTTTGTATTATCGTTTAGAAGCGATTCGCAAATTTTCAGGGGCCAGTGAAATCTAACGATTAATCCCGTCAGTGGCTCGCTAGAAGGCGAACAGAGAAATTTCATATTTCTGTGTTACGATATTTCTACCGACAGAAATAATATATTCGGTTCGACAGTGAATTTTCGCAATCGAATTTTCCTACGACCCACGGGAAGACGAGTTCGTCCGTCGTCGTTTCTTCCGATCGATCTCCCGAACAAGTTCAACATTCGAACGATCCGGTGGAAAGGATAAGATAAGGGGTGGTTGAGCGTTGGCCCAGATTTACCAGGTGGTCTGCCCTGGTCTCTCGGCACTTGACCGGCAGTCACGTGTGCATCTATATAGATCAGCAGGTTCTCTTTCGCCTCGAGCAGGGACGCATTCGATGAGCCGATTGGACAGGTGTACGCGTATGTAGGCTGACGGAAAGAACGCTGCTTCTCAGAAATATCTTTAAAGCACAGGAGCCTTGTTCCACTTGAAATGATTTCTTTGCGCGTTTCACGCGGACACAGTTTTCTCCTCGTGGGTTTAGTCGTTTCTCGAACACCCTCTATAATTTTACGGTTTAACGAACATGTTCAACATCTTTCGTGCCGGTTGAAGCTTCCGGTTTCCGGTGAACGCTTCGAAAGTTGATTAAAATGTCGAGTCGTAACATATTGTATTCGTGATCGTGACTCTTTTAGTCGTGACGTTTTTTTCTTCCGTTGTTGTCAACGCCGAGACACCAGTGGTTCAGCCGAGCCGGAGAGCTTCGAATGCGTTCCTGTACGATACAAGTACATCTTCCGATCGCGTGACTGCTGGCATCGATCTTGATTCTTGAATAACGCGATGGTGTACGGTCCGTGTGCGTTCACACGTGTGAGACAGGCATACGGCCGAATAACATTTTCCACTGGCTGTAATGGCTACTGGAAGAACTTTTCGCTCTCTACGTTACTACCCTGTTATACCCTTTCCGAGGGCAGAGGACGAACGAAAGGATAATAAAAAGGTTGCTCGATATCGTGTCCAAGTACCGTTTTATTGAAAAACAAAAATTATACAAATAACTGGCTAAACGTTTACAATCTATACAGGTAGTCTACTCGGTGTAAACGGTCGTTTACATTACCCGCTACTAGAGACCAAACACCGAAGCTTTGGGACCTTCCCCCACTCTCCGTCTTCAATGCTCTCCCTAGCCTATCACAATTAGTACTCGTCAGAAAGGAAGTTAGGGTCCCATAGTTTTTCATGGAAACTTATATCCGTTATACGTGATAATGCGTATAATATGAATACTACAGAAACGATCTGTCCTGTACCGACTATCGTTGTTGCATCGCGTATAAGTAGCTGTTCAAAAAGGTCTAGTCAGTTGTTAATATTACAATATTATCATTGGTATCGTAACGTTCCGATCAATTATCATGATAGACACACTGGTGAGAATCGTTTACGTGGAAAATATTAATCGGTCGGCTGCAAAAGACGAGTGTAAGAAATATCGTTACATCCTTTCCTCCCAGCGTATCCGTTCCAAAGAGGAGAGACAGGTTCTTCCCCCGTGATCGATGGAACCGATGCAACAAATTGTACTATCAACTGGAAAACAATCCTTTATTTGTCCTCTTAAAGTTATGAAAATATATAGATATTTCTATGTGTCGTTATAGGTGCTTTTAGTCCGAACGGATCCACGTGTGGTCGAAGTACGGGGAACGGTACAATCGTTTTGCGGCCAGGAGCCAAGGCGAAAAACCACAAGAAGAGGAATTTTGTGAAAAACGCCTGTAGGCTACTTTAGTCTTTGCGTGGATAAATACGTGAAAAGCTGTTTACTGAAGCTGAATTAATCTTTAACCATGTACAGACTGATATATATATATATATATATATCATATATATATATATTCATATTTATGAGAGATGGATATAAACCTACGTATATCGTGTTGGTAATCGGTTCAACGATTTACGATTGATCGTGTAAGTAGGTATAACTCAATTAGGTATGCTGCATTTCTTTAATTAAGCTCGGACATTCGATTCTCTTCGAGAGATTTCAACGTAACGCGACTCGCGCGAGTACTCGCCTAAAAGCAACAACGGAGCTGCGAATTTAGAACATTTACATAGAATTAGAAGAATGAGATTTTACATGCAAAGAATCTTACGCATTTTTATACATGGATCGTTTTTATTGAATTCCTTTTAATTCACCGATGCTATTATAATAAATGCACTGTGTAAATATTTCTAAGGTTAATTCCCACTTCCACTTGAAGCACATAATCGTTTAAATTCAAGTATTTTTCTTCAGAGACATTTCGTATTCGAATAAACGTATTACTTGTACGTGTGAAAGGCGAACGTTTATCAGGAGGAGTATAGTGTTCTTACTCTTTTTATGCACATACAGTCAATATAATTGTAATAAGCGATCAATCTAGGTAATACGTAATATATTACGTGGTAATGTTTTTGCTAAAAATATCTTTCACATTAAAAGATCTTTTAAATCGTTTTCATTTTTTATAGACGTTAATTTATATGTAAACAGATATCAATGTACTGGCTAACCAAATATTCTACATAATAAGAAAAAGAGACACGCGTTGTTGGAAACCAATCTTTCGTTCAACGGTGACAACGAGAAATAAATAAAAACTAAATGTTACGGCTTTTTTTTTAACAATCTGTTTCAATCGACACCTCGAAGAGCACAAAGTAAACAAGTTCTGCAAACTTTAATAAATGCTATCCTGTTTTAGTTATAAACAATGCTTTATTTCTTTTATTTGTATCACATACGAAAATGTATTGCACGCTAATTCTGAACTTGAAACTTATAGTAAAATTGAACGAATGTACCATGCATAAAGTATACATTATTTAGAATTATAAAAATAAGTGAATAAAGATTATATGAATAATATGGTCTGGCACCATTGCTAACAATAAAACTATTTAGGTACACGGTATAAAAGAAAAAAGAAAAAAGAAACAAGAGGAAAGGAAACAGAAAAAAGAAATGGATTTTTCGCATAAACTAAATGTTCTCTTAAAATTATGCCAGATCGTACATAGAATCCTTATCCGTTTTCTTAATAATTTTAATATGTAGTAAATTATTCAATTTAATTGTTTCATCTACAGTACCACAGTAAGTAAGTAAGTAAGTAAGTAAGTAAGTATGTAAGTAAGTATGTAAGTAAGTAAGTAAGTAAGTAAGTAAGTAAGTAAGCAAGTAGAAACATATCATGGAATTTATTAAAATACGAACAAGTTCAAAGCTAGATTCGGAATATAGAAATTATATTCGGTTTCCTCAAATAGTTTTACCAGTGCTCTGAATTATAGGAAGCACTATAATTTTACGTAATCAGGAATAATTGTTATTACATTGAGGGCATGTTAATATGACTAACCAGCAGTCACATATTTATCATATCCACACAAAGATCAAATTGAGCGCAATTCTAATAATGCGTGTGTTCTTGTGTTTTAGAATTGAAAAAAGGTCATAAAAATATACTTTGATTTACTAATACCAAATCATTAAAGTCACCTCGACGTAAAACATTATGCTTTGTACACACATGTTGTACTGTATTAAGTTTCTAAGAAGGCTGTTCACTTTGTTATAGTTCCATCAATGATAATATTAGAATTGTTCATTGCAAATTTTCCAAACAAATATCAAAATATTCATAAAATTTTATAGTAATTTTGTTACTACACTCCACTATGATGCGCAAATACAAATATAAAGTGGACAGAAGCTTAGTTGCGCAATGGTGAGTTATAGAAAATCATGGTATACATAGAGAAGATAATATAATCGTTTGTTACGTGTAATACCTTTCTCTATATTTACCGTACAACACCACCATTGAATTTCAAATAAGCACCCTGGTTTAATTAGCTTTCAGTTTCATCGAATCTCCGGTAGAACAACTAATATAGCTTAATTGTTCGCTTCAGGAGTAACTTATCTGCTGCTATTTTAAAATGTATTGCTCAAAGTGTGTCTTCATAGTAGCTGAATCGTATGCATTTTATCAATGTAATCCAACAAGCCCTGCAGTCTCTTCTTTACTCGTTTCTGATCCTCCATGGTACATCCAAGAATAGCAGTTTCAAAGTTCTTATCTGACAAATCACAGCCATGCGAACTGGTACAAGCATTCATGAAGGACGTGCAACGTTGTCGCGTCATAGCTGGATCATCTCGAAGACTAATTATTAAATTATCAATCAAACCATTTACCTAAAATTCATCCATAATAATAGGTAGTTCGTTCTTACACGAACAAAGTATAGATTAATCCATCTTATCGGTTAGGTTATTAATACGGTACAACCGATACACACCTGATGTAACGCTTCCTGCTGAATATGATCTCGTTGAATTCTCACCAAAACATCGACCGATAAACATCTCATGGACAATCTCTCTGCATACCTTATAACTTCGTCTCTGTCATCTGGATCGAAAATTTATATTTATATGAAAATGTCATAATGCACAACATCTAACAAGTCGTTAAAGTTTTTCTTAAGAATTTCAAGTAGAACGATTTTTAAAAACAAAAAATTTGATCGCATCTTTTTCAATGTATTTATTTACACATACATATATTTACACATATATCCAGAAATACATCGAATCTGTAGGCTAGTTAATTAATTAAATAAGCCTATCGGAAAAGGCCAACTATTCATCATCGTAACATAATTTGAACAAGAAAACAACAAGTTTGACAAGCGATAAATGAGAACATTCTACAAACATCAAGAACATCGAGAACATCGATGACGATGTTTCTAGGCATATCAGAAGCTGACCTTGATTTACAGAATAATATCATATAAACACTTACTTTCTTCTAATACGGTCAAAATTTCATTGTTTCTGAGCGTATCTAGGGTAGTCAAGAGAGTGTCTTTCTCTTCCTCGAGGCGCCAGGCATCTTTTCTCAGTTGTTCTACGTGCACTTCGATCTGATCGAGAAGACTGACTAACCTCTCTTTCGGTTTACCTGAACCGTCACAATCAGCACTTTCTAAGATATGTGGTAACGGGGTATCCATTTGTTACAAAATTCTCAAAGTTACTCTGCGGCAAACCAACTCGCCACGTTACACGATTACAGAACTAACAATTCTGTTTACACAGGAAGCCGAACGGAAACGCGTTGATCCTGAATTTATTCCTGTCGTCGGAATCCTTTGCGCACACTGTGCCTACTAGTAATCGTGATACAGAAAAATGACTGACGACTAAACCCACACCAACGAATGCCCGTGTTCTCTGTGTGCGCGTACGTGACTGATACCTATGTAGAATTATCAGTCCACTTGCCGCCAAATTTAAACAGTATTTCCGTTGCGATTCTTTCGTTTTCTTCGTATCGCAAGATTAACAGGAACAAGGGAATTCGCTGAGATTTCCAACGTCGCGTATGCAATTAAACAAGTTAAACCATATTTATTTATGATCATTATAATATTAGATCTTCTTCGATTGAACAGTTACCGAGATCTCTTTCTGTGATTTTCGCAGGCGACTCTAACGATCGTTTCGTGAAATATACGGACGAAGTACGGACGAGGTACGGACGAGGTACAGCAGGATAGACGTAAGATGTAACATTTCGTCGAGCGCGACGTTACCGATGATACACGAGATTTTAGTTAGTAGGAATCGGATTAGCTGTATACTTCATTTTTGCTAGGAGTGTGTCATATGTTTTAGCGGCAACGAACAAGGAGCGTACGTTCAAACGATGATAGTAGTATTTATTCGACAGAACTTCGTAACAATGCGATTTTTATTCATCAATAATGATTTACAAAATAGCTTTCTATTATTAGTGAAATAAAGAGTTTTCCACATTTTTATATCATTTTAAATTGATCTGTATTTTATTTGTACTAAATTATCTGCTTATTAAGCTTCTGGTGCTGATTTGATCCAAGTTGTATTGTACAACCTTCGTATCGCGACATCTCTTTTCCGGTATTAAGTTGACAGGGTACGTGTTATTTTTTCTAGACGATTTCACAAAATCCACTTTTTAATAAAGAAATCCCTTTTCGTTTCACATTCATATTAATAACTGCTTTTATAATACAATATTCTTAAACATCCTATGGAAATATTTTTATAATTTGATTATATTTAAATTGTTTATTTTACCTTCTAGGTTATCTGGTTCGCCCTCTTATCGTTCATAATGGTGAGTGTGAAATTTCTTATAATATTAACACTAATATTCTCATTTCTCCAATATTACATTCATTCTTTTCATAGTGTAAAATAATTTGTTCTGATTAATTTAATACGAGTTACAAGGAAATTGATCGAAACAGGATAACTTAACCTCGTTGCAATGATCAAATAGTTTTGACAATAGGTTTGTTTACTGTTCCTTTCGTACGAGAGGAATTTATATGTTTTTGAATAATTTATACATACTTATTTTTGTAACTTTTTACAGCCACGTGAGATTAAAGAAATCAAGGACTTTCTTCTGAAAGCCAGGAGGAAAGATGCAAAATGTAAGTGCAGTTTGATTTATATAGTATGCTGTTAATTATTTGTATGGCATCCGATAACTTACCGTTCTTTTCTCGTTACAATTATGTAGCTGTTAAGATCAAGAAGAATGCTGACAATGTTAAATTCAAGGTTCGTTGCTCAAGGTTTTTGTACACACTTGTGATCACCGATAAGGAAAAGGCAGAGAAATTGAAACAATCTTTACCTCCAGGTATACATTTATTCAAATTTAATTTAAATTTAAATTATACATAAAATCTGTAGTTTACGTTTAATAATTAATCCACTCTCATTTTCAGGTCTTCAAGTGAAAGAAGTTAAGAGGAGCGAACGTATGTAATGAATCGAATAAAGTAATTTTTTAAAATGTACATACGTTTAATCGTCCGTTCGTTCATTGTATCGATAGAATAAAAGATTATAAGGGTGTCGAAAGGAAATGCAACTGCGTTCATTAAAAAATATCAATTTTCAAGATTTATAGTCTGTTATTTTCATGGTTACAATAACCTTGTTACTATAAGATTTTGAACCGGCGGAGAACACGGTTGATTCAAAAATTCTTTTCTTCTCTTAGACATACGTTGATATATATTCTTCCTTTTCGAGGGTGAAGTGCACATTAATTTTAATTCGTCGTATGTATCGGTACACACATTTCCACTACTACACGCCGGTCTTTGATCGTAAGGACGTATTCGGCGATAATTAAACCTTCTTTGACAATGTTGCGTACTATGTTTGTATCTTTGTTTCAAATGCCTTGATAGGGGACAAGCTTTTCTTTGACACAGTTCAGTTTGGTACTTGAGATATCGAGAGAATAGCATTCCTAATTCGTCATAAGTTTCACTTGCTTTCGAGCGATGATCTAACCTTGTGTAAGCGCTCTCTCTTTTATAGACCAGATTTTCATATAATAAAGCGAAATCTTGATCAAAAGGGCTATTGTTAATGTCATTTGTTGGTACAGAAGATACAATACCATAAGTAACGTTATTGTCCGATTTAGACTTTCTTGTGATACTTTTCATTTCATTGAAGCAATTTAATTGTATCTCAACCGATGATTTCAATCTATCTTTCATTATTTTTAATTGCCTCGTACAATCGTGTAGTTTCATCTTTGATTCTGTTCTTTGTAATTGTTTTATTGCACTTAAGCTGTATCTATTTACTGCGTACCGAGCATTTTTCCTTGACTTTACATGTAATACTTGTGGATTACTTTTTACAATCTTAGAAGAATTGTCTAATCTAAAAATAATTAAAAACACACGATATCACCTTTAATAACCAAATTTCATTCTAATTCTGTGGAAATCATGTTTTACAGACCTTTGTAGCTGTTTGAAGTTCACGGTTGCGAAAGTATCCAATTCTTTTACTGTAGAATCTGAAAAATATTTGGCATTACAAATCAAAGTTTCCGACATAAGAGAACGGGGTGAATAATTTGTCTTGGAATTTGAAACTCTATATTTGTGTGTGCTATCATCGAACGAGTCTGTGTTGTGAAACTGAAATTCGATTGATTTAGAACCAGTATCAATTTGTTCATTGTAATAATCGTTAATGGTTCCCGAATTCCATTCGCAGAACTCTACTTGTTCGTCGTATACTCTTATTTCAGATTTCTTTGAATGCATTGGTATTATCAAAAATTTTAAATCTGTGTCTGAGAAGCAAACGTTTTTATCATTCTAAAAAGAAACATTAAAATATATTAAACAGGAATATAATTATTACAGATAAGTTTCTACCTTGTTGTAATCTGAGATTACAGACTCTGTATCGTATCTGTTTAATATTCGATTATATGACATTTTACATTTTGCGATAGACGATAAGGAAAGTGGGAAGGACATTTTTAAGGATAATCGTTTTCTCAATTCTACATTGCTATTAACGGTTTCGGGTTTATTTCCAGAAGAATCGAGTAACTTTTCTTTTTCCTGTTTAGAAAGGGGTATGCGTCGTGAGTATTCTATATTGTTTTTATAAATGTTCTATAATGTTTTAGTAATGTTCATGTAATATACCGGTAAAATGGTCTTCAATTCGCAATTATTATTTTCGTACTGCTTACTGGTTTGTCCCAGTTTTTTAAATCGTGAAACTTTAAATGCATTCGGACACAATAATTGTCGTTTCGTGTGTGATTTGTTATCATGTTCACTCGATATGGGTAAATTACCATCAAGAGTTCTTTTCTTGTTTTGCCGTGTAAGACACCTTTGTTAACGTAATTTTAGGATAGCACCAATAACTGAATACAAATGCAAGTATAGTAAAAAAAAAATCTAGACATATTGCATGCATACAAATAAAACTGTATTGAACCTTTTGCAACTGAAAATAATTCTTTCATGTATATACCGATAGCACAGTATGCAGAAAATGATTACAAGTAAGATGACAAAGATTGGAATCCATATTGTCGAAAAATAACTGGCAAGATTGTCAGATTGATCATTATTAAGTTTATAATACTTTTTCCTGGTTTTATATATTTCCATTCCCGCTCGTTCGAGTTCTACGCTATAATTATAGATTAAGTAGAAACGTAATACGTTTTCCTTTCATACGTAATTTATATATATATATATATATATTTACCTATACACGTGCGATAAACTGTTATTACCGTTTTCGCTAACGTTGTGTAACATGAGGAGCTACAGAATATTTCTAATATACAAAACTGAAATGATTAGCAAAAGATAAGAAACTTCTAGTTTAATAGATTTAGTAGATTAAACGCATAGATTGCATATAGAAACTTCGACGAGTTACTTCCGAATTTGTTTATAGAATAATACAACGTTCATTTATTCATATCACACGATTACATCGATACTTTTCACGTTGAAGTTAAACGAAGTAGGCTAGAGTAGTAAAATTATGATTACAAACATACCTTTCATATAATAGGTTGTTGGTATTACTACGAATGGTATTTGTAAATAGAAAAACGTTTTTATAGGTTTAGTTTTTTATTATAGCTTTATCTTGAAACAAATTATTGTGTTGCTCAATGTTCATACATAAAACAGTAAATGCATTTTCATTTGTTACATCATTACATACGTTCACATCCGTATCATTTAAAACAATAGTGTCACCATTAAAGTATAATAAATACACCTTTTTGACAACTTAATACTTACAGAAGTATAACGTGTATCGATAATAAAAATATTTTCAGATTAAAAGTGGAAATATTTGAAACTCGTATGTATGTATAAGTCTTGTTCTTACAATGGCACTGTTTATCAATAGTATACTTTCTATGGCAGCACATCGAAAGCATAGCAAAATGAAATAATTGAAATTTGTATGATTCTGACCTATGCAATTTTGTATTACAACAGGGGCGATTTTATTAAATCTTTCTGTTACTTATAAATCATTTTATACATTGTACATCTTAATCTGATTTTGCGCAATTACTAAATACAAATTTTCTTTTCAAACGAGTAAAAGTAAATATACTTTACACCAAAATAAAATATTTATTTTAGCTTTAAAAACTTTCTAATCTCTAATACATGCATAACATTCAGTCAAGTAGATTAAAAAAATGTTACACAGTATTTTCTTTTCTTCTCAGTACGTTCAAGATCACATATTGAACTACTTGTATGTTTAAAAGTATATTGCAAAAAATACTATGAAAAGTATAAAGAACTAGTAACCTACAGAATTTTTGCGTTATAGTATAAATAGTGACGCACACTTTATAAAATTTTAAAAAACGAATCGAAACACCGTATGTTCATAATTGATATTTCACATAGTACAAGAGACAAATCAATGTAATATGCACTTAAGACACACACAAACGATATTACATATAATCGGTAGTCTTAGTTTAAAATTTTATTAGGTAGAAAGTCACTTATATTTACTGTTTTGAAGTATTATTTTTTAACACTACAAATTGTGTCTGTCTTGACATGTTTGTGATTACTTATTCATCACATTCATGATACGTAGCTCTATAAAAAGAAAATAAACATAAATTAACAGATACAAAGGAAGAAAACATAAAAATAATAATGAAAAAAAATTTACCTTTGCTTATCCATGTTTCGACGCGATAATCTTCGTCCATACTCGTGTGTCGTTAACGTGTAGCGTTTCGTATGAGGACGATTTGCTCTGAGTTCGCGTACCTCGGTGGTTTTAGCTTTTTCAACTTTTTGCATAAACTTTTCTATCAGTTCGGGGCAATTTAAGTTTTCTTCCGGTTCCCATGTGTCGTCCGCCGACGAAAATCCTTTCCAACGAATCAGAAACTGCCTTGTCTTGTTTTTTTTGAAATGTACTTCTATAATCTTTTCAACTTCAAACTCTTTTTGATCATCTTTATCGTTCTTGATCTCATCCGAGGAGGTTATTTCCTTGTCTGAAATCGGATAAACGATAATTAGAATGCAACCGAGTCGCATTAAATACATTTTTGATAACCGTCGAATAATTATACGGATTACAAAGAAAAACCAAAGTACCATTTTCAATTTGTTTTTTTGCATTAACTTTAGGTTTCTTAGACCTTTTATCCATCTTCAAAGATTTAGTTTTTCCTGCTTTTGGGGAATCGTCGGATTTCTTAGATTTGTCTTCTTCGTTCTCGATCTCCTCGGCTAAGAATTCTTCGATCAGTTGTAAACAATTCAAATCTTTCTCTAACTCCCACGTGTCGGAGCTTTCGTCGTATCCTTTCCATCTAACTAAGAATTGTCGTTTGCCTTTACTCGTACGTTGTCCAACAATTTTTTCCACCTATTCAGAAAAAACATGTTTTAATGTTACATTATCATATGCGGATAAAAACAGAAATTCTATAAATTTGAACATTAAAACTGTGAGACGAAAGTCGGTCATCAACTGTGGAGATTACTATGTTATTAAATTCATCGAATACCTTTATCAGAAAAGATAAATGTCTATCCATTTTCCATTTGTACAGGGAATTTAAAAAACATTCAATTGTATTAAACGGTAATAGTGGTAGTAGTAAGTAATAAGTAGTAAGTAGTAAGTAGTAAGTAGTAAGTAGTAAGTAGTAAGTAGTAGTAGTACTACTAGTAGTAGTAGTAGTAGTAGTAGTAGTAGTAGTAGTAGTAGTAGTAGTAGTAGTAATAGTAATAGTAATAGTAATAGTAATAGTAATAGTAATAGTTAATAGTAATAGTAGGAGTAGTAATAATAATAATAAATTTAATATTAAGATTCCAACGAAAACTACTTTTATCTTTCGTGTCATTCCGTTAGCGTCGTTCCGTTAGCGTCGTTTGCCCTGCGGGACGCCGCGCTTATCTGTTGCCGCGTAAACGAAGTACTGCACTATATATCGTGATAAATGCATAAATATTATTAAAGGGAGATGAACCTCGTATTCCTCTTCTTGATTTCCATCGTGCTTTATCGAGGAAGAAGCCTTTGGGTCGTCCTTTTTAAAACGTTTACTCCCTCTGCTCTTCCCGGTATTCTTGTTTTCATCCTCTTCGGCGACAACGGGCTGCGCGTCCTCTTCGTCGGCTTTCGCATTGTCGTCGATCCCTTTGAGGCTATGCCTGCCCCGAGATGGTCGCTTCTTGGTTGAACTTCTGCGCGACGTATCCATAGATTCATCGTCTTTTCCTTTCTTCATTTCGTCGCTTTCATCGGCGGTCGAACGAGGGACGCCATTTTCCTCCGAACCTTCTTCGCTGGTCGTTTCGGACTTCCTACGCTTACTCTTCATACTCAACCTTCGCATACTATTTCAGCCACCGACAAAATATCACTTTTCGTTGCGGGTTTCGTTCGAATTGAAATCAGAAATAATACACTTTCAGCCGAGTATTATGTACCCGCTTATCTACAAACTGTTTCCTCTCGACTCCTCTGTAAACAATTCGGAACTGCAATACAAACTTCTTGCGCAGTCGTGCCGAAGCAGCAGGAACTTCCAATCCAGCGCGGCAGAGGAAGGCCACCGGTATTCACTTTAATTTCATGCAATTTCAAATCGGTTCCTTTCTCGAGATCGTCTCTATCGTTAAATCTCCTAGAATTTTTTAGCTTTATTTCACCTACGAGTCTCGCGATCGTGCGCCTCGAATGATCACATTGGAAATTATATTGGTAGATTTCTGACTTTTGTCCGTTACACAGAAATTCAAACTGTAACGGTCGCGAGGCTACTACGCATGATGCAAGATCGAGTGGGGGTCCCCAAGAAGGTGGACTTCCCCCTTCTGTACTTACAAACGATTTCACGTCTGCGGTATTTTATTTTTATATAATAGTGTTTCGATAACAGTCCTAAAAATCATTCTCCGCTGAACAGTGGAGTTCCTTTGACAATACGAAAGATCGATTTCGAAAGTTAAGATGGCAAGCTCCGGAAGTTTCTCGATGTACCTACCACAGGCCAGGCGATGCGCCGAAGGTTTCGAGGGCCACGATTCTTCCTTATCGGATAACGACTTTCTTCGAGGCTCGCGAGGCACGTGTCGTTACACGCGTGTCTCCTACTCGAGAACGGCGAAAACGAATTGGCGACATTTCATAGGAACAGAATGAATAATTATAGAAAGTATTAACGTGTAACGATTATTATTTCATGTACCATTCGTTCAGACTGCATCGATGGTTCGAGTTCCATGCGTTAAGGACCGGTGTCGGTTCGCTGGCCAAGTAACTTCTAGGAACGGAAGAAATCCAAAATATCAATCTTTTTAGGCGTACAACGGATCTCTTTACAGGATTACTTCTCGACTATCAACGTAAAATGGATGTCTGATTCGTTCGGTCGAGTTCAGGTACACGAGCAGATGTAACTGCCAGTTGAACATTTACCCCCGATTTCTTCCCTTTGCCAATTTTACTTTTTCATTAGTTGGTACAACAATGTTTATACTTCTTATGTTTACGTAACTTACTACGGCCTGCTTTAATCTTCAAAGTAATCGGATAATATGTGATCCATTTTAATAATGAGTATTAAACGTCTAAAATCTAAATAAACGTAAATGTAAATAAACGATTTACTCTTCGAAGAACAGATCTCAATTTTCTTGTCTGTAGTAAGGAAGACTCCTACTTTTCTCAATTCTATAGTAATATTATTCGTCGTCGATACTAAAAGTAGCACAAGATAGAAAATGTATACATGCACACACGAATGAAATATAATAAAGTATTAAATCGATATCGAATTCGAAATGTACTTGTTTGCTACTTCGGTTGCTTTGGTGATCCTCTAATGACTTTGTTGTCACTGCCAGTACTGAAACACTTTTCCGGATTTCGGTCGTATTATTTTGTACAGACGGTAAATTGTTTGAAAATTATGGCTAACAGATCTGTAACAACCTATGAAAAACCTCTAGCTCATATAGGTAATTAGAATTTCCTATGATTTTCATCTCATTACTAGAACATCTTATAAAATATATCGATATTTATAGGATTAGCAGATTGGTATGCTAGCCAATGGGAACTTCAACAAAGTGCAGATGCCGAAAGTGCAGAAGCATTTACATTGAGAAATTCAGGGAAGATTGTTCGGTCGGAGACAACGGTGAAGACCATGTGGGATACGTACATGAATAATGCTCGATTTGCGGATAGGTAACGGACATTGCCGTTTAATTCTACCTACCTCTAAGATAGGCTCTACTTTTATCATATTATTAGATTTACATTCGCAGGATAACAGAATTATCAAGGTGGAGAGAACTGCTTCAGAATTTGTTAAGCAAACTCTTATCGGAAACTCGTCTTTTGAAGGATGAGAAAAGCGACGCGGAGAAGGAATTGGAATCTTTGAACTGTCCTCTGCAAGTAACAGCAGAATGTATTTCGATGAGAGACTGTCGTAGAGGAACAGAGCTTACGTACGATGAAGCTGACACAGAACTGAAAAAGGAACTTTGCGTCATAGAGAATATTAAACAATCGCTGACCGATAGGTATTACATGTTCGTTGACGTCGATGTAAAGGCGATTCCAAAGTTTACGAATAGAGATTTTCCGTAGAATTCAATCTGCATGGGAGAAATTAAATCTGTTGGAGGAAGTTAGATTTAAAATAGCACTGGATGTCGAAGACAAGTCCGAGACCATAAAAATAGACAAAGAAAATCTGAATTTAGACCGTACATGCGCAAACATCAGTTATAAACCAAACGCGTTAAGGGTTCCGAAAGAGTAAGACTTCTGTACGGTACGTTGATACGAACGCAAAGATACAGTAACATCGTTTTCAGTGCAATATCTTACGAAGCTTGGTTGGAACACTGCCAGTATTCGAAAACTTTAGCCGACAACGAATTGAGCGACGTATACAATTTTCGCGAGTCTATGAACGTAATGCGAGAACGCGCAAGAAACGACATTAAAGCTCAACAGGATGTAACGGACTTCAGTTTACGAAAGAGAATACATCAGACACAAAAAGCACGCAACGAATTGGAATGGCAGAAGCACAAAGTAAAGTATACAGGATAACCGTATCTACAGGAATAGGACAATACGGCGATCGAGTAATTCACGCAGAATTCATATCTAATTGTACTTTACAGATAGAAAAAGAAATGGAAGTCATGCAAAAAGAAATAGTGCGGTTGGAAGATGCTCTCTCACATAAAACTGATTCGATAAAATGCGTAGAAACAAGACTAGAAAATCGCACTTATCGTCCTGGCTTTGAACTCTGTCGTGACGAAGTAGACGGCGGTTTGAAAGATGAAGTTTTACAGTTGCGACAGACTGAAAAAGATTTGAAAACAGTTATCGAAGATTCCAAGTACGTGTATACGTTACGTACAGTGTACCAGTTAACATCAGCGTCCAAGATATCTTTTTCTTCGGGCATTTAGAAGATATTTCGCTCGTTACCATTGTACAATAACATTTTTCTCGCAGTTATTCTACATTATGTTTGTCTTCTTTTCTAGAGGATCGTATAATCGTTTAGAAGGTTTACTTCTAAAAATTCAGAGAAATTTAGACGACAAAGAACACTCGTTAGCAACGGACGTGATGTGTTTGGATATAAGAGCAACATTAAAAACAGGAGACAGAACACGATTACCTAATGAAACGGATCGCAACATCGTTCTTACGCGCATGGAAAAAGAAATACCACTTGAATCGGCATAATATTTATGTAATTCTGCCCAAGTCTATAAATTGTGTGTTTATTATTTCGCTCATTTATTTAAATATATATATATATATATATATATATATTTGTCCTCCACGTTTTCTCACAACTGCTGTCGATGCTTACGTATCCGCACTCAAACAATCCAGGTTTGCCTTCATCAAACTGTATTCTGAAATGAAAGGCTCGGTCAATTCAGGGTTTAATGTTTTTACTGCCCTCCTATGTATATCTCCGACTTTTTTCGGATCTCCATGTTTCATTTCAAACTTAATGTAATCGATCCAAACACTCGCGTTACTTTTGCCAAATTGTAACGTTGACATTTCATTGCATTTTCGCAAATGTTTCAATGACATTTCTGGTTGCATAAATTCTAGTTCCATCATCTTTTTATGCATTTCGATAGAGAAAGGTGGTTGCAAGCAGAGATTATCATAAGCTTTTCGTGCTGTTTGTATGCCTGAAATAGGTATATCCTGTGTAATCCAACAACCATGGATTATATTACTCGTTAGAATGTATTATTTGTACGTGTACAAACTTTTTGTTAGAACCAGCCATTCGATGTAAGTAGGTTTTATTTCTTGAGCTACATTCGGATGTCCCTGTAAAGCTGCTTGGAATATTTCTTCTGTTCTTTCGGGATTTTTCGCTTGCATATGTAATATTCTCATTTTCCATAAAGGTAATGATTTTTCTCCAAGAATTTCTATTACCTAGCACACGTATGTTGTTATACACGCCTATACGCATTTTACAATACACGATTCTTATACTATACCTTAAAGAAAAGAGTTTCAACTTCCTCTTCTTGCCCCGAGGTTAATAAATACCTTAGTCTGGCATGCCATAAACTTACACTATTTGGTAAAGCCTCGGTAGCCATACATAGAATTTCTTTTATCTTTTTGTTGGTAGTTTCATCTTTCAGGTCAACATTTAACATATTAACCTACAGTAATCGGTGAAGAGAGGTTCGTTCGTTATATTTTATTTGTATTATTCAGTAATATAGCAAATAATAATTGGATGTTTGACTAACCCAATGCAAATAATATTTTTCTTTCAACTTTTTAGCTTGGTGAGCTTGAGAAAATGCAGATTTCAATAACTTTCTCTTGAAATTAGGTAGAGATCTGTCTTTTTCATTAATCTCTATTAGACATTCTATATATAATGACCACATCTCTTCTGTTTTCAGTTTTTTAAGAGCAGTTTGATATACTTTATTACAAGATGTGATGCGATCTCTTAACGAAGTCTGTTCCGAACTATCAATTTCCATAGCTGTGTCGTTAAGGCTAGGTTGAACAAGTCCTTCTAGTTCCCTCCTTGCCATTGTGTCCCACATTAAAGGTTCATGGGCGTATTCTTGTATTATATCGCTACATAAAAATTAAACTAACACAACTGTAACACGCGTATTTACTATACTATCTTTCTTTGTTTACCTAACAATTTTATTTTGTAGTTTCTCCGTGTTTTCGTGTTCCTTGGTAATGTTAAGCAATTCTACTATAAACTTGATATCCTTGATACATTTTGATGCTTGTTGATATACGATATAGGCCCTTTTTAAACCTATGCTCATGTCATCTTCCGTCGCTACTGGCGCTACAGGTTCGCCATTGGATTCCTTAGATTGTTCGTCGGACAGTGCTTCCTCTAATTCTAATCTGAACGATACGTAAAATTGGTTATAAACTAGCTTACACGAAGACGAGCGAAGAAAATATTTAGATTATCCGATAAATATTTAGAATACCTAAAAGTGTCGATAAATAACAGTTGAGAAGTCGGATGTATGTGTAATCCTCTTAACAAAAACTGACGAGCCGTCTGTTTATTTTTATTTTCTTCTAGCTCCCAACGAGCAGCAATGTGCCAACATTTTGGTTTATCTTGATGAACTTGTAACATCCGACCTAATATGTGGCTAACACTATTTTGAAAATGCTGCCACGTATCGTATTGTCATTGAATCATTAAAAACTAAAGAAATCCGATGGAATGTCATTATCTAGATATACTTACAACATGCTTACAAAATTTTATATAAGCAACCCAGAAACGAATGTCATCTTGAAATTTAAAGATGGCATCTTTATACAAATGATTCATTTTGTTTGTAATGATGTGATCGATGTCCGATTTCTTTTGATTAACACCAAATTTCTAATGAAACAATAACATTCGTTATTATTCTGTCGATAGCTATATAAAGATCTATAAAAATCGTAGTAACATACGTCTCTACGTTGCCTGATTAATTTAAGAAGGTCCATCAAGTACTGTATGTATCGTAAATAATCCTCTTTGGTTTTTGAAACTCGCTGAATTTTGTACTCATTTTCTTTCAATTTTTTCGCAATTCCCCTATAGAAATGTCAAGAACACGACTAATTAAGGTTTTCGAAGAAAAGGAGAAAGGTGATGGCGGTAGAAGGAGATAACCTGGTACAGTTACCGAATTTCATTTTTGTCGAATAGTTTGATCCTCTCCATTTGTTCCAATTCGGGGATCATGTCCTCGCATCGTTTATCTACGAACTCCGCCATAGTTACGGCTACTTGGTAATCAGTATAACAAACGAATAAGCCAGAATCGCCGAGAATTCGTTACTCGTGGAAGTTGGAAATTCAAGATTGATCAAAACTTATTCCGACTATTCCGAATTTATCGCAAGCACATGTTCCGTTTTCTGTTTACGGTTCTGAAATACCGACGGCATTAAAAACGTCTTTATACACTAGCGAACTCTGTTGAAATGAGAAATGGTCAGAGCTAACTACCGGATATAACAGGATTGACGAAAAAATAGGATAGACTGGACATCCGATGTGAAAGACGATGAAAGTCTTACGTGACACCGCCTTACCAACCACGTCAGTTGCAACCTTACCCACGGAACATATACCGTACACTCGTACTGTAGAGGACCGTCTAACAATCTTCTTCGTCTTCGAGCTCGTAGACTTGGCGATTTTCCATTTATTTCATTTTACGATCCTTTTACCAAGCACGTACATTTCATATCGCAGCCTTGCATAGTCGAGTAGTTGACCGTTCGATTCGGGTAGAGTCCGCTGATGCATCGAGGCATATTTCACGATGTCGGTATTTCAGAGTCTGCGTTCGAGCGAAGGAGACACGAAAGCGAATCGAAACGCGAAGTTATCGTTAAACGTTCTCTGAAAGTTGTTTAACTTTTGGTTAAGTAGTTGTCAACGACTCGATCGTTGGGTTTGATAACGCGAAGAATCTAACGCGAGAAATCAATAACCGTCGACACAGTGAACCGTATGTAATGAAAATAACGGCAAGTAGTTTTCCTACGTTCCCAAACTCCGTCGTAGAAGCGATTAGAAGTAGAATCGTGCGAGTAACGAACAGAGGGAGTTTCGGATGAGAATGAGAAAACCGAGAGCAAAAGCGAAAGCGAGAGCGAGTACGCGCGTGCCTGCGTGTAGACGTTGCGCGTCGCGTCGTGTCGTGTTCGCGTTCGTGTTCGTCGGGAACTACCAGACGAAACGAACAACTCGACGAACGCGTCGATGAAAAGCGTGTCCGGAATGAAGTAGAAAACCGAACAAACCTTCGTCGCACGATTCAAAGTCGCGTACACGGGATCGATTTAAAAGAGTGAAGTGAAACCGCGCGTACTTCCGCCGAGAAGATTCGTCGAGTGTGCGAACCGAGAGAAGAGAAAGGGCGAACGCGGAGAAGGAAACGAGAAGAAAGGAGAGGAAGAGGAAAACGCAAGAGATGTTGAGGTTAAACCAGAGTACGTTCCTTGACACGTGACACAATAACAGTAATTTCGCGGCAGGCGTAATAGTTTCGGAATAGCGATCGAGAGAACGAGAACGAGAGCGAGAACGAGAGCGAGAACGAGAACGAGAACGAGAACGAGAACGAGAACGAGAACGAGAACGAGAACGAGAACGAAGACGAACCCTGACACGCGAGTCCATCATCGGGATGCCGGCGAGTCAACAGAACGTTATATTTCCACGGGTTGGTTCCGCCCTGTTTTACGGGTTGTCGTCTCTAATGATCACGGTTGTAAACAAAACGGTGTTGACCTCGTTCGAGTTCCCATCGTTTCAAGTGCTCGGCATAGGGCAAATGCTGGCCACGATCGTCTTGTTGTTCGGTGCGAAGGAAGCGCGGTACGTCGAATTTCCTAACCTAGAAACGGCAACGTTCGGCAAGATATGGCCGTTACCAGTGATTTATATCGGTAATATGATTTTCGGATTAGGCGGTACCAAACAACTCAGCCTCCCCATGTTCACCGCTCTCAGGCGGTTCAGCATTCTGATGACGATGATTGCCGAGTATTACATTTTGGGCGCAAAGGCGCGTGTTCCCGTTCAGTTGAGCGTGTACACGATGATCGTTGGAGCGGTGGTGGCGGCGTTGAACGACCTCGCTTTCAATTTCGAAGGTTACCTGTTTATTCTGTTGAACGACTTGTTCACCGCCGCGAACGGCGTCTACATGAAGAAGAAGCTGGAGTCGAAGGAGTTGGGGAAGTACGGATTGATGTACTACAACTCGTTGTTTATGATCGTTCCTGCGATCGCGATCGCCTGTTGGACGGGAGACGCGCGCTCCGTCCTCGACTTTCCTCACTGGAACAACGCGATTTTCCTTCTGCAGTTTGGGCTTTCTTGCGTGATGGGCTTCGTGCTTTCCTATAGTATGATTCTCTGTACGCTGCACAACTCTGCCTTGACCACCACGATAATCGGCTGCTTAAAAAACATATGCGTGACGTATCTCGGAATGATTATCGGCGGAGATTACATATTTACTTGGTTGAACTTTATCGGACTGAATTTAAGCGTGATCGGCAGCCTGGTCTACACGTGGGTGACTTTTCGCAGGAAAGAATCACCGGAGCTGAGGTACACTCCGCTCAGTCAAGATCAAACGATCAAGCCTCAAAACGTGTGATCAGACCCAGCGATCGCGCGATCCTTGCTCTCGCGAGCAGCGTAGTCGTACGCACGATTCTCCGTTCTCTCCATCGATTTCCTTCTCTCCTCGAGAATTTTTGCAATTATTTCCGAGCGTTGGTCTCGTCGTTGTCGTTGTCGTCGTTGTCGTTGTCGTTATCGTTGTCGTTGTCGTTGTCATTGTCATTGTCATTGTCATTGTCATTGTCATTGTCATTGTCATCGTTGTTGTTGACGACAAACCATGATAGAGCGTACGAGTTTTCATCGGAAAATCGCAAAATGATCAAAGGAGAAGAGAATAGGGTGAAATGTGAGATAATCATACCAAAGTGATAAATACTTTTACAGTTATCGGGCTGCCATAGTCGCGACGAATGCGCGAGCCTTGCGATGTAAATTGCGGCGCAATCTGTAAATCTGTAAATCTGTAAATCTGTAAATCTGTACATTTGTACATCTGTAAATGTGTAAATAACGATGTAGAGACTAGTCGAGGCGTTTGTCGAGGGGCAAGCGCAACATGGCTATGATGGATGCGTCACGCGGCAAAGTCGTGTACAGGAAAGTTTCTTGAAATAAATTCCACGTGTAGAGGAAAAGAATGATCGACCGTTATTGTCCTTGATCGGTTTCAGGAAGCTCGATCCAAAGGTTTTTCAGCGACGCGTCGTTTGCGAGGGATTACGCGAACGATCGCGTCCACTTGTCGCGGGTGCAACGCGCGATACTGACGGTAGGTGCCGCCGCGATATCTTTCGCGAATCCGTTTCGCGGGGACATGATCGCGTGCCTGGGAGAAACCACCGGATCCGAAGGCCTCGCTCATTGCCATCGAAGGTTGCTCTCCACCGCCGAGGGACGTCGTATCCTCGAGCGAAAGCCACGCATTTCCTCCTCGACGATCGATCTGTCCGCGCTGAAACGCTTGCCGGTGGGGACCGTCGGCAGGACCTACCGCGAATTCTTGGACGCGAATGTAAGCCCCTTCTTCTACTCCTCTATCCTTATCGGCGCTCTCTTTCTTCCCCCGTCTCCCGAGATTCCTCTTTTGCAGAACGTGTCACCCGATTCTAGGCCGTTGGTCAGGTTCGTCGAGGATACCGAATTGGCGTACGTGATGCAACGCTATCGAGAAACGCACGATATTTTTCACGCGGTGCTTATGATGCCGACTACGATGCTCGGCGAAGTATCGGTCAAGTGGATAGAAGCGTTGCAATTGCGTTTACCGATGTGCCTCAGCGGAGCGATATTCGGGGCATATCGGTTGCGTCCAAGGTAATCGTCGAACGGCACGAACGAATCGCGAAGCGAACGTAAACGTTACGATCGCGTGTCTAACGGAAAATAGAACGATCACGATAACGGCGACGATAAACCACACACAGACGCGCGGCTGGACTTTTTTTCCGGATTTCAGGCAGAGGAAGCTGTACCTCGAGTATCATCTCCCATGGGCCATTCGAACGGGAATCGACGCGAAGTTCTTGTTGGGCGTTTACTTCGAGGAACGCTGGGAACAGTCGCTCAAAGATTTCCACCGAGAAATGAATATCGTGCCACTGGTGGAGGATCAACCGACGCCGGAACGGTCCGATTAGACGCGGTACGTGCCTGGCGGATCGTCGATTACCGAGTTCCTACTTAGTTCGCTTTACGCTTTGCACGCTGGTCGTGTCGTCTCGGCTGTGAACGTTCAAGCAGTTTTACGGGGATAGTATTAACAATATTTATTCGTCGTAACGTTGGAAATATGAAGAATATAATTTTTCATGGAATACGAGTGTTATTTCTATTACAAATTTCGATATCGAGTACAACCGTAAATGGAAAGGAGATCGTTCGATAGACGAGAACGCGCTGCAAGATGATACGGTCGATCGTCGAATCGAAATCAGGGATTTTACAAATTTGTTCGCTTGCATACAAGTATATATATATATATATATATACTTATATTTATATGCACCGGTGAATCGACAACTGTCGTTTCGATACACGTGTCGCTTGCTCGATGAAATTGATTGTCTCGCCTGGTTTAGAACGGTTCGCTCGCAAATTCTCTAGAAATACCGTCGCTCGATCGATGGGTCAGCCCCAACCTTCTTTGGATCGAAATGTCTGAAAAGAAACTGGTTACCGAGCGACCGAACGATCGGCCCTGCGTGTAAATTGTCGAGGATACCGATCTGCAAAGTACTTACACGCGACCCCTTCTGTCACCGAGTGCGTTCGTTTAGAATCGAAAGGAACGCTTAGCCTAGTCGAAAGCTTAAAAAAGTAATAGGAAACATCGATTGTTCGCGGAACCGATAATAACGTGCTTTCCTTGCACCGTCTTCTTACGAACCCGCACAGTCTTATTCTACTTACATGATACTCGTATATCGTAGGTGTGGCGTTGTATGGATCACCGTTTTAGCCGACACCGAAAAACGCTCGAAATATGCGTCAAGTTTCACGACTGGATGTATCGCCGTATCACCACCGTACATGTATATTGTCGACAAAAATATTCAGTCCTCGAAACTATTTGGGGAAAGGTTTTTCTCGACGATTTCCGGCCGCGATCACTGCTGTGCTGACGATAAGACCATAGCGCGTAATGTCGCGTCCCTCGATTACGATAAATCTATTAGATACAATTTACATGTATTCCTATATGTATACGTGAAGACCAAGTCCAATAAACCTAGTTGAGC